AAGTATATCTTTTTTGGCCGCATTTACTTTACGGCCGCATTTACTTCACGGCCGCATTTGCTTTATTACTTTATGGCCGCTTTTACTTCACGGCCGCTTTTACTTTACGGCCGCTTTTACTTTACGGCCGCTATATACTTTGGTGAAAATATATAAACAGACAATCGGAAACGCGGTCCGTAACTATAAACACAACCAATAAATAGTTAGCAACCACAATGGAACCAAATTTTTGATTTTAGCCCTATCCTATTACCTTTTCAAAAAAGCACAATATAGGATACCATGCGAAAAAGTCGGCAATTTTCTATTATCACACTTCCCTTATTGTAGTTTTTGTTACTAATAATTATGTATCTACCTATCTTTGCTGGATTATTTATCTAATCAATAAAAAGTTAAAGCTCCTGTTGAATTTTCGTCTGTTTTCAAGAAAAAACACTCGCCTAAAAAATTTTGTGTGCACCTCGGCCGAATGATCTTTTTTGGCCTCACCTGGAATTTGCTTGGCCTCGGCTACGCCAAGATCAACTTTACGGCCTTGGTACACAAATAACTATTTTAGGCGACTGTCACAAAAAGATTAGTTTTACGGATTCAATATCATCCCTAAAGTATATCTTTTTTGGCCGCATTTACTTTACGGCCGCATTCACTTCACGGCCGCATTTGCTTTATTACTTTACGGCCGCTTTTACTTCACGGCCGCTTTTCTTCATGGCCGCTTTTACTTTACGGCCGCTACTTTGGTGAAAATAAACAATTTTTTCTATAATCACACTCTCTTTATCGTAGTTTTTGTTATTAATAATTGTGTATCTACCTATCTTTGCTGGATTATTTATTTGATCAATAAAGTTTAAAGCTACTGTTGAATTTTATTCTTTTTTCAAGAACAAACACTCGCCTAAAAAATTTTGTGTGCACCTCGGCCGAATGATCTTTTTTGGCCTCACCTGAAATTTGCTTGACCTCGGCTGCGCCTCTGCCGCAAATTTCTGATTCGGCCAAAAAAGATCAACTTTACGGCCTTGGTACACAAATAACTATTTTAGGCCACACCCAAATTTTGCTATTTGTAACTAATATAATAAACAATAAAAAATAAAACAATTTGGAAATACTTTTATTTCGGACGGGAAAAAAAGTTAATTCTCTGTATCTTTTGATAGGTGCACAATAGTATATTGTGTATTTAGGTGGAAAAGTGACACATTCTCGGCCGACGGTGTAAGTTGACGGGCGAGGCGTAGCCGAGGCCGGCTAACACCGAAGGCCGAGAATGTGCTTTTCCACTGAAATACACATACTATTTTTTCTGCGATCGGTTAAATACCTGTTAAATGTTTGTCTTTTAGTTCCAATTATTCAGCAATACGAGAATCACTTTCCCGGCCTAGGCCGGAAAAGTGTTTCCCGTATTGTTATTCATTGATTCCTTAGCAACTATTGAAACATAATTGAAATACCAGAATATTGAGTTTTGCGACCTGTCAACCGGTCGAAAATGCTGACATTTCTTGTCAATCGCAGAACAATTACTTTTCCTTGTGGGAAAAAAATTTAAAAAAATTGTAATCAAAACTAAAACAACACAACGTAAATAGAATATTCCAAATTAAAAAAATACATTTTTCCGACTAGGTAAATGCAAATTGCATTCTTCTTGAGTCTCTCCCAAACCTATTAATAACTTCTTCATAAAAATCTTTATTAACCAATTCATTCATTAATGATCGATAAATTGACATCATAGCCAAGCCATCCAGTTTTTCATTTGACATGGTCGATTTTAACCAGGTCTTTAATCTTCGTAAGGTGCTGAATGATCGTTCAACTGTGCAGGTCGTAGGCGGAATGCTCATGGCCAGAGATAAAGCCAGAAAAATGGATGGATAGAATTCTTTGGTTTTCGATAATACGTCAAGAGATGAAGCTTTACCTAATTAAGTATTATTATTTTTTTTTTCCCCCTTTTATTTTTAAGTATTTATATTGAAAGCCAGGGGGGGCAGATGCCCCCCCCTGCCCCCCCCTCCGGGCGCCCATGGTCACAATGACAAACAAACAAGTTTGGATTAGATTTTCTCATTTATCATTTCAACTGCCACTTCCCAGTCTTGCCACTGTTAATATGTTCGAGGAGGTGGCGAGTGAGGAGACCCTTTTGCACAATAAAACATCCAGGGCCTTTACTTCAAAGTATTTGAGGAGTTACAGTGGTGGTCATACTTGTACAATATGCAAAAAATCATCAAAATCGAAGAATAATGTGATTACAAAATTGTTTTCTGTAAAAACATGCGAAGAAGGTTCTCTTCGAAAACAGTTTTTCTGCGAACAACACAAGCCAGAAAGTAAGTAAAGTGTTTTTTTTTAGATAAAAGTCAAAATGACATTATGTTGGCAATACAATGTAAAATTGTCAATGCTTTCAATTTTTTTATGTAGAAAAGGCTTGTGTTGCCAACATAGTTACTAAATTTTTGACTTGGGGAATTATCTTTAAAAAAAAACGCACTTTACTCATGAAGTTACTTTTTTTTTTAAGTTGACAGCCCGCATGTAATTTTTGTTTTCATCGTTTGGCAACAACGTTCGCGCACCGCAATATGGCGTCCAAACAAAAGGTCAATTACCTCGTGTTTATTCGAATCGGTGACTTCACCAATGAGTTAGCTACCTTTATAAGTGAATGGAAAATGACAATGACCGACATAGAATGGTGGATCCATTAGTAAAATTTGCGCAGGGTTTGAAATTGAGATTGAGAAGACAATGTGGGAAAAGTCACTGCCTCATTCGCAGAACTTCGCTATGAAGACAGTAATGGATTATTTTGGAAGCAAACTAAACTTGAACGTGGCTTACTTTGTATACTTGATGGGACGAGGCTTTCCCTTTCTTTTGCGAGTATCCTTTCTGATTTTGTGTATCCAAATTTTGACAAATGTAGAATTTGATGGAAACTTGTGGAAAAACGCATTCGCCGGTGAATAGGAATTATTTTTATGAAAAGGCACACTACACAGAATCACCATTTTTAGGAAAAAACCTTGAAAAAACCGAGGAAATAATAGTTTTTTTCAAAAATCTTGTCTACAAACCACTGTCAACAACTGTCAACCATTGTTTTCATACTCTTTTGGCATCTGACAGTTTGATGCCAGAGAGAGAGGCTTTTAAATTGAAAAGGTCAATTATTTTGCTTCGAGTTGTGCTTGCAGCATTGATTTTGATTATTCAATAAAATATATGTTTACAAGGTACGTAAACTATTAAGTCGGGCAGAAACTAGATATTTTTTTGTGTTTTTTGGTCCATGTGTGGCCGCCACGCCATCTTGAATGTCACGTGGTTTAAATTGCCTAACATGATGATATAAAATAAAATAAAAAGTTAACTTTAAGTTAACTGTCAAAGCAGTTTTATAATACCCACCCTAAGACGAGAGCGTTCCAGTGCTGCTTATGTCAAACAGTTCAAGAGCGTCACACTCCAGGAGCATTAGACTCTAACAATAGCAGCTTTCCAGCTGTGTGCTTCAAGCACGGTGCAGAACAGTGTTCTGTGTTTGAAACGCAAAAGTAAGCAGCTCTCGAAGCGCAGTACGGCTGGAAAACGAACATGCGCTAGAAGCAATTGCGCGCGCAGAAGATCGATTGCGTGCTCAAAATGGTCAGATGGAAAGCTGTTTATAGGCACTGGGCTGCGTTCAGATTGAACGTCGAGTGTCGCCCGAGCGCGCTCTGGCTGTTCAGATTGCTTTGGGTAAAATTTACCCAGCCGTTCAGATTGTCAGTAGATTTTTACCGGACGACACTCCGACGTACACTTTCTGCATCCCATAAAATAGTAAGATAAAATTTGCCCCGCATGCGCGTTTGTGTTCTAACCTTAAATAATAAAGGCAAATATTTTAAAGTTGCGAGTTATGGCAGGTTTATCCAAATTCTTCGTCATCCTCATCAAAAAAAGGTGGCGTCTTCCTTTTTTTTTGTTCAGCTTGTGCTGCTAAATTGATAGCAATCACTGACAACTAGCACATCGCACATCCTCGTCATCCGAAGATGAAGCGTCCTCATCATTCAATAATTCTTTAAATATGAAGGAAGATGGTATGGCTTCTTCCATAGTTACTATTTATTTGAAAAATTATGAAGAAAACGGCAAAAATGTTAGAATCACGACTTTGAAAAGGCAACAAAATCAAAATCAAAGTATCCCATAAATAGTGAGGCTGGCTATGAGGAGAGAATGCGTCTTGGCCGTTCAGATTGGGCGAATCGCCGGGCACACTCGGAGTGCGCTCTCTATCGGGTACGCTCTGCACTGGACGTCGCCCGGACTCTCCAATCTGAACGCGCCCCTGGAAAGCTGCTCATGACGTGTGACGTTTGTCGGTACGTATAGCTCGAGAGCTCAACGCTCCGAGTAGCTCCGAGCGTCACACTCCCATACTGGAAAGAGGCTCAGATTGCTCGCATACGCTAATAACGGAAACCGTCCAAAAATGTACCGTCACGATTCTGCAAAACCTTAAATTTGTGCGTAGAATGCGAAATTCGTCAAAAGAGTGGTTTCGAAACCATATATATGGGACGGTTTTCGACGTGTTGGAACTCATTCGTCGGAACAATATCCTGAATCCTGCTGGGGTAGGACTCCGTGCCAAGTATCGCACTCGCACCCTGTGCATTATTTCTGAACTCAGCCCTGGAGTGCGCGGTACACACTAGTTGTATTCCTTTCACACCTAGGAGGAGCTCCGGAACAGCTCCGGGGCTTCACGCCCCTATTCCTTTCGAAAAGTGTTTGTTGCACCACGCATCTGTTCCCTGCAAATTGGGGGCTCCTGAACACCGGTGCGAGTAGCTCGAGTGTTTCAAACTCTTGAAAGCAATACAACTACTGAAGAACGGCCAGTGCTTTATCGAACGTACCCAAGCCTTGTTTCGCTTTCTCTCCCCTCCCCACATCATTCGATTTCCACTTCCACTTTACGCCACTGCCCACTAGCGCCACTAGTTCCACTCCCTTTCCGTTCGGCGACGCCATATTCTGCGTTCCTTTTTGGCTTTTGTTGAAAATCAGTTTCAGATAAGTTTATTGTTTTACAAAAATGGCCGATGAAGTTAAAATAGAAAACGAGCCCAGCACCAATACTGAACCATCTGAAAACAATGCCGATAATGAAAAGGGAGAATCCGAAAACTTATCGAAACGTGGCGGCCGAGGAGGATTCAGAGGGGACCGAGGACGGCCATTCCGTGGAGGACCATCTCGCGGCGGCCAATTTCAAGGAGGACGCGGTGGCGGAAATTTTAACTCAAATGTAAGTACAAATGCCTTGTTATTTTCCTTTACCGGAATTGAAATTACACTTTGAGGGCAATGCCCCTAAACAATAATTAGCAACAAATTCTCTAGGAAATTTTTATTCAACCGGGTTGTTTATTGGCCAACAAGAGAATCTTCATCAACCAAATTTTCAGTTTATATTGTGGTTCAAGAATTTTATTTTATAAAGTCCAAGTCATTTTCCAATTTATTTTTTATAATTTGGAATTATTTAATTCCATTTAATTCATGTTACAAAAAGAATAGCCTCAAGAAGATACCTATATTATATTCATATAGAAATAAGTTATTAAAATTTAAGTTACTTGCACTTGCATACACAATAGAGAGTTATTGGAACTATTAAATACTGCCTGGCAGTATTAAGGATCTACGTTATTTTATTAGTGCATCAGCATTATTTTTCCAAGGAAAAACAGTTATTGGAAGAGTGTAGTAGGTGCTAGAGTATTACCTTATTTTGTATTCATAATTTTGACAGCTGATAGTTATGTTTATAAATTTTAGTCTCAAAAAGTGTTTATTTCTGTTTGTGATTTTCTGCTGATACCCATTTTTTGATGTTACCCACAGTAAAATGGAAAACTATTGTGAAAAATAAATTTTCTAAGTAAAATTACGTCATCGTCGGAAAGCGAAACGTCAAAGTCGTCCAAAATGTCAGACATTTGAAATAAGGGAAGTTTACTGCCTCGCACTAACCATACACAAATAAAGACAAGCAGTAACCTTATTAAGGGAATCCTTATTTTCGGATACAATTGCGCATGCGTAGATGTCAAAATAAGGCTAATTTAAATACTGCTTGTCCTTATTGCACGTCCAATAACTCTCTAATGATTATATTGCAAAGTTTTGTCAATGAAATAGGAAAATAGTAGCATGTAAAGTCCGTTGATTTTAATTTGATGCTCCAAAGGAATGTGAGCTGGTGGCAAACTACATTAGAACGCCAATGGTCACCTGACATCACACCTGTTTTTGCCATAAGTTTCACCCCTTTGCTCCTCATATGGAAATTGAGAGATTAAAAATGAACAACAATAGTGTCCGCTGTTTTTTTTTAATCTGACACTTTCCGTATGAGGAGCGAGGGGCTTATGGCAAAGACAGGTGTGACATCACATATCCATTGGCGTTCTAATGTAGGGAGCCACCAGCTCAAATTTTTTTGGAGTATCAATCAGATTAAAATCGACGGACTTTACAGTCGTAAGTATTATTAAAAGTGGGATACCCGACTGAGAGGTTTTGTAATTTTTTGCTATTTTGGGTAAATCAGTCTTTTCCGTACAACTGATTTTTAATATGACAAGCCCTGTCATTGTCGACGGTGTAGCTGGTGAGCTCGTTTTACAATAGGAAAAATGGCTGTCCCATTTTTTAATGCTTTCCCACTTATTCTGGATAAAAAAGCATGTTTGATAACTCCTATCATTTCTAAAAAATCAACAGTTGCCAAAAGATTTGTTGGACTAAAATCACCAATTTTTTTGGTTTATTTTCTGAATAAGAAAAGAATGAGTATTGTTGATATTTTTAATACATTTTACTAATTTCTAGGTTGGTATTTATTTTATCCTGATATGCATTTATCAAGTCTTCTTAGGGTTTTTCCTTGGGTTTTCCAATAAAATTCTTTGTTATGTTTATGTGAATAAAGTATGTTCTCTCTCTCTCTCTCCCTTATAAACTCTGTCGTTATATTGTCAGGAATACTCCCTTTATTGGGCAAGGAGGAAAATAGATTGAGAAGAGGTGAAATGGATATCAGATTAACACATTGGATGTGGATAGGGCTGTCCTCAAGGTTATCATCATTTTTGTCTACAGGGAGTTTCAGAAATGGGGTTACAAACTTCAAGGGCAGATAGTATTCATGAAAATAATTTAAAAAGTTCCTATGGATATAGGTCCAGAAACGCTTTGTTTCCAAGATACAGGGTGATACGTTTTTCAAAAAAAGATAGTTTTTTTATTAATAGCCCAAAAGAGCTTTAGACGATTTCAATGAAATTTCCATCAATTGGATTTGATCCAGAATTCCTAGGGGCGTACCCAGCGACCAAGTCGGTTGTTTTTGTGCAGAAAAATGTCAATGAAAAACAATGGTGTTTTTTGGACAATAAAGCTTATTTTGATTTGATATCACTGTAGTTTTTGTACGATTTTTCTTGATTATTCAGATAGACACACTAAAAATACAACATTTTGGTCTCTTAAATTTTTCAATTATCTTACTTCGTTTTCAGGGAAAAATTACAATACCATACCTAGGCATGTCTCTGAACTCCATAAGAAAAAATAAAAATGCTTAGGACTTGATTGAAAATTTATCGGAGTTTGTTGATTCATGAAAACAAAACAAAAAAAAAAAACCTCAAATGGAATTTATGTCCTTGTCACTCAATGAATGGGCGATGTACCTTAATTCGTATGAATTTTTATCTTTCCTTATGGAGTCCAGAAACTTGCCGAGGTATGGTATTGTAATTTTTCCGCGAAAACGGAGCGAGATAATTGAAAAATTTAGGAAACAAAAATGTTATATTTTTTTCTGCACAAAAACAACCGACTTGGTCGCTGAGTACGCCCCTGGGAAATCTGGATCAAATCCAATCGATCCAGTAGATGTCTAATAATGGTTGAAATAAACCGTGAAAATTTCATTGAAATCGGCTAGAGCTCTTTCGGGCTATTAATAAAAGACTATTTTTTTTTGAAAAACGTATCACTCTTTAACTTGGGAACAGAGCGTTTCCGGACCTATATCCATAGGAACTTTTTTAATTATTTTCATGAATACTATCTGCCCTTGAAGTGTGTAACACCATTTCTGAAACACCCTGTACCAGGTGACAATGAAACTACTACCCACGGCGGCATTTCTTAACGGCTCGAGATAGAAATATGCAACTCGGTTTGTTGATAGGGTTGAAAATTTTGAACAATTTTAATATAAAAACAATTGAATGTCTTTTCAGGTTTTACGGGAAATGGCAGTTTTTACATAAAATACAAACAAATAGGAATTACGACATACTTTTGAGTCACTCTATTTCAAAAACTATCAATTTTTGACATAGGGTATGTTAGACAAAAGTTATTTAAAATTGTTCAGAGAGTCCAAAAAAAAGATAATATACAGGGTGTCCCATTTAAAATAACAAAGTCAATGCTATTTCCGGTGAAACCGTAAAAGACATTCAATTGTTTTTATATTAAAATTGTTCACAAGTTTCAACCCTATCAACAAACCGAGTTGCATATTTCTATCTCGAGCCGTTAAGAAATGCCGCCCTGGGTAGTAGTTTCATTGTCACCTGGTATATGAAATTTAATAGTTTTTATGCTATTAAGGAAGTAATTATTCAGATGTTCTGCTATATCTGTGGGGTTGGTGAGAATTTTTTTTTCTTTTTTCAACAAAAACATAAACAAATCAAATTTTCCAGTTTCATGAACCATTTTCACTAAAAACCAAATCAAAATCTTGATGATTCCATCTCATTTTGGCATGAATCAAAAGTTTTTTTTTTATAACTAACTCTAAAACAGTGGGAATCACTGGTACCAGAGCCTCAATATGCAATCATATTATAATAATAAGTACAAAGTGTGGTAATAAATTATAATTTTTAGCTTAATTATACAGTGTGGGGCACGAAAAACTTCCCACCCAGAGTTTCTCAGGTGTTAGGTGTTTAATCAAAAATCGCTCAGACACATCAATTTTTGTTTTTTTGGGAACACATTTTATTGGCATTTTCACCCCCTACCTGTCAACCCCTAAGTGGGGGTAACAGGTACCCCAAAATTTTTAAATGGAAAGTGGGGTCGAGTGATATATCATTTAGTAGCTATTTTCATAAAGATTAGGATCCCCGAAGTTTTAAGTTGCTACTATTTACCCTGCCGAAATGGCGGCATGTCAAAGTTAGGATAAATGCTTTTTTTTGATTATACAACTCACTGTACTGTGCGTTCAATTTATCTTGATAACATTTTAATTCGCTGTAACTTTTTTGTTTTTGAAGGTGTCAAGGTAAAGAAAAATATAAAATGTAGGGTAAGTAGCAAAGTTTTTTTTCAAGTTACCTATGAAACAAAACACTATCAATTTTCTGACATATGAACCTATATTATATTTTTTTAAATGAAACACCCTGTATATTATATATGTGTTTGATAGAATATCTTATTCCGATTACAATGATATAACACACTTCATATTTTAGTCCACTTGTTCTTGACAAATCGGCAAAAATATATGAACCTCTTTAAGTGGAACTTGAACTTATTAGGCAGAGATCTGATATTTGGGGCGAGAATTATTGAGAGTGTATATAAAAACTTCATATTTTTGCCAATCTCTCAAAAACGAGTGGACTAAAATATGAAGTGTGTTATATCATTGCAATCGGGATAAGATATTCTATCAAACACATATATAATATACAGGGTGTTCCATTTGAAAAAATATAATGTAGGCTCATATGTCAGAAAATTGATAGTGTTTTGTTTTATAGGTAACTTCGGAGTCGTGGTGTTGCTGCGTAACGCGTTTCGTGGCAGGTAAAGGTATTATCCGGTAATCCTGAAACCCCTTGTGGTATTACATTCGATAATCTAAACTGTATAATTTTTACCTGTCAGACCTATGCATAGGTAGCAGGTACAAACCACACAGCATTTTTCCATCGATTTTTCCTAACTTTGACAAGCCGCCATTACGACAGGATAAATAGTAGCAACTTAAAACTTTGGGGATATAATCTTAATGAAAATAGCTATCAAATGATGTATCACTCGACCCTCCTTTTCATTTGAAATTTTGGGGGTACCTGTCACCCTCACTTAGGGGTTGACAGGTAGGGGGTGAAAATACCAATAAAATGTGTCCCCCAAAAAACAAAAATTGATGTGTTCGTGCGATTTTTAGTTAATCACATAACACATGAGAAAACCTGGGTT